GGAAAGATACTTAAGAAAATAGAAAATTATACTTCCTTAAGGGTTTGTAAGAATTAAGAGTATGTCAGTTTTCCTAAAATAATTTAAGGATTCAATATAATCCCTGACACTATGTTTAGAAATTGAGAAATTGATTCTAAAATGAATATGGAAATAAAAATGTCAAAAATAGTAACACATTAGAAGAAAAAACAAATTTGGATACTTACACTCTTAGCTATCAAATCTTATTATAAAATTGCAATAATAAAATAGTGTGGTACTGGTTAGCTCAAAAATTTAAAAAAGTAGATAAATGTTATAGAATAGAGCGTTTTGGAGGAAATTCACATTTACATGTTCACAGAATTTGATGAAAAAAGCCCCATAAAAATCTTTTTGATGCATTGAGGGAAAGTACTTTTTTTTTTGTATGTATTGATTAAATCAATTATATATTTATGTGAAAAATAAAGTCCTATGATTCTTACTTCACATGAAAAAAGCAAAAATCATTTCAGTTTTGTATTTTGGATATGAATGAGAAAGATTAACAAGTCTTCTAAGTATCATTATAAAAATATCATCAAGACCAATGTGTCATGGTTTATGTCAGTGGCCCCAGGCCTCATGCATTTACATGATGCATCTGTGATTGGTTCATTGTATAGTGCTTGGATTGATGGTGTCAGTGCTATACCAACATGGGGTAGAGCCAGGATGTGATGTTATGGCAGGAGGAAGGCGTGTCTTGCTTTCTTGCTGGTTTTTGCCTTGCTGTTTGCAGCTGCCATGAACGGCAGCCCAGCCATGCCATCCTGCCTTGGAGCCAACTGAGTATGGACTGAAACTTCCAAAAACTGTAAGAAATAAAACTTTCCTTTCCCAACTTTGGGCATCAGGTGTTTTGTCTCAGTGACAAGTAAAAAGTAACTAAGACAACATGAAAAGTCACAGATTTCTAAAACAATAAGCATACACACAAATCATGTAAAGAAATATATTAAGTGATCATTAAGGGTCATCTCAATATACAGCATAAAGTGACAATGAAAAGATGATAATGAAGTAGCACTATACCTGCTAAAATAGAAAACAAAGCTAGTGACAGTTTCAAGTGGTGTCAAAGATGATTTTACTGCTTATGGAGCTTAATTTGGTTCAGCTACTTTGAGAAACTATTTGGCAATATCAATTATAATAAATTTATGCTTATCCAGTGACCAAATACACTATGAGAAAAAGGTATATAGTAGCTTTATTCATAGTAAACCTAAACTAGAAATATATTAAGTGATCATGAAGGGTCATCTCAATATACAGCATAAAGTGACAGTTCAAACACTTATTAATAGTACAATGCTAAATGTGTTATATTTATACCATGGAGCATAAACAACAAGAAAATGTCTTATTATATGTACCCATAAGACATATTCCTGATTTATAATGCATTGTTTAATTCTGAAGGATTCCATTTATAAAAAGTACAAAAACTTGTAAAATAAACTTATAATGGTAGATATCAGAATGGTTGTTACTTTTTAATGGGTTATTATTTGAAGGAGAAAAGAAAGAGTTCTGGGGTATTGGTTATGTCGATTACTTAATCTGGAGGGAAGTTATATGATTTGCTCAATGTTTAAAAAGTTTAGTACAGGGCCAGGGGTTTAGCTCACTGACACAAGCATTTGCCTGGTAACAGTGAGGTCAATGCTCTGTACCAAAAAAAAAAAAAAAAAAAAAAAAAAAAAAAGTTTTGTGGATTTTACACTTAGAATTTGTATGAATGCTATGCTTGAGAAAGCTAAAATAGCCAGGGATTTAGCTCAGTGACTTAAGTGCCTGCCTGGTAAGCACAAGGTCATGAATTCAATCCCAGATCCTGCTCCCCCGCCAAAGAAAGCCAAGTCAAACTAGTAAAAAGGCTGTCCTAAGGATATTATGCCTGAAAACGATTTAATATAGTTACATTCTAAGAATTTATGTGCTTTAAAGCTATTAATGTCAACCACTGTTTTTTTTTTTTTTTTTTTTTTTTAAGCAGAACTTTTGAATTTTGTTGGATTTTTCATTAAGGTTGTTTGTATGCTTAAGTCAGATGCCTGAAATTAGCTATAAGGCTCTCAGCAGGAGTTGAGAAAGTTCAAAAACTATCTGATTGATTCTTCATTTACTTTAATATTGGCCATATGAGTACTAAGATTAAAAAAAAATAGTACTGGAAGAAACTCAAGTCTTTTGGAGACAGCTGTGACTTGGGATTCAGAAGCCAAAAAGCCAATTCAAAGTCTTGACCCTTGATTTTGATTGGGGATCTTTACCCAACCTTGAAAAGCCTAATTTTTGTTCCAGCCATGTTTCAAGGTGGTTACAGCAACATTTACTGAAGGAAGAAGTGTTTTCTGAAAAGAGGACATGTAAAATGTAAGTGGAATTTTGCAGACAATATTTAATATGCTGGTTGCCATGATCCTTTACCAAGAGGGCACCAGCCTGCTCTGAAGTCTCAGATGAAAATCACCCTTTGTTCCTCAGGGATGCACAAAATCCCTGTTGCCATAGCAATTCTGCCAGGTGGTATCAGAAATCAGGCTTAGGCCTTGAAGGATAAAAAAGAAGTGAGGGTTGGCCAGCTAGTGAGGAGAGCTATGAATACTATCTGGATAGATAGTGCCGCACCTCCAGTAATAGAAGGTGTATGCACATGTTGAATAATCCTTTGTATGCTTGAGCGTGGTCAGTAATCTCTATGCTGAAAAAAGCATGTCATTTCTAGAGGTCAGAATTTCTCTCACTTGTCAGATCACACTGAAAATTAGGCTTGTTTTGCATTCATTAACACCTATTTTTGGAAGCTGAAAGTGAAAGAATTTGTTTACCCCAATCCTTGAAATGTGACTTTTGCCCTTACTGGAGTTGAGTAATACTCATGAGAAGAGAGGGTGTAGAACTGTTTCATAAAAATCTAAATTGTAAGAATGTTCATATTTTATGGCATTTTATGGCATGTATAGATTTTTACAAGTTTATGAACATTCAAAAATAAAAAAGACATTATAAAAAAGTGTGGGTTTTTTTTAAAGATAGGTGCTAAGAAAAGTCGAGTTGTCAAGTAGGTATTAACCCGTCTCCTTCAGTTACCAGGGGAAGCCCTAGAAGCTCAAATTTGGAAATTCTATTTTGACCCTTTTGAATCATGCTGTGATTGAAAGTTTTACAGTATACTGTTAATTTTCTTTGCTTTTTTTAAAAATAGATTTTCTAGAGAAAATGAGAGATAGATTTAAGGGGAATCCTTAACCTGAAAGTGATTAAAATAGCTGTTGAATTTGCAGACGCTCCAGTTAAACTACTGTGAATATTGTAAGATTAGTGTATAAAAAAGAAAATTTAAGATAAACTTCATGATTGTTAAAATACTGGCTTTGAATACTAGAGTTTTGTTTATGATATATTTGCTATTCAGAACAGGTGAGATTTTCCAAGTATTTGTTTATAAATGCTGCATATATAAGATCTTTAAAATGACTAAATTTACATAGATGTACATATGCACATTTATATATTTTATATATATATATATATATGTGGTATAGCAATACTTTATCAATCCCATGATCCATAAAAACTTAGTAATAAATCTCATTCAATTTTATAACTGATTAAAAGGTTCTTGCCTTAGTAGAAATTATGGCAGTGGTCTAATGTGGTGGAAGGCCGAAGTGGGATGCCTACCACTTCCTGCTTCCTCCTCAGCCTTAATTGCAACTCCCCTTCCTGTTTGCATGCGAAGAAAACTCCAATCAGCTCCTCATACATCACCAATGCCCACCCTAAGTGCAACCCCCAGTCAGAGGCTGTATATGTATATTCCATAACCCATGTCCCAATCAGAAGAGACCTGGCCATCTTTGGTTGTTGGCCATCTTTGGTTGTCCTTGGAATAAAGGCTATTGTTTCCTTATAGTTTTCTCTTTCTTCACGCTGAAAATCCTATCATTTGGTTCCCTGACCAGGAAGGCAGCGTGAGTGGCTCCTGGGAATCCCTTCCAGTTTGAGCTTCCCTGCCTAAGAACCACCTTTTTCTTCCCCTGGGACTGTTTACTTGGTGTAGCTAATCTACATGCAACACCGACCTTCTTCACTCATAACAGGTGAGCTGCATTTCAGAGTTTTCTGTTTCCATTCCTTAGCAAGCTTGCAACAGAAAACCCATCCTGCCATCCCAAACAGGGATACCAGTTTTCATGCTCCTTAGGCCATACAGCTTGAGGCAAAACTGCTATTTTTGTTCCCTGGGACCCCACTCTGCACTTTTAGGGTGACCAGCTGAGGAGAATGGGTGTTGGAACTTTCCATGTCACACTTTCAAAATAGGTGATAATCTCTTTTGTTAAGTGTGACCCAGGACGGCTTCCATGTTCCTTGGGGGGAGCTAAAGCTCTTGCATCCCAAGGCAAAGTTGTTCTCTCAGCTCACTTATAATTTGGTCATGGGGACCACTTCCTGTCCCCCAAAAAACACACCTCTGGAATGCCTGGTTCTCTTGGTGCTCTTGGCCTCTAGAAGGCTATAAAAACAAAAAAACTGATCTTTTATTTATGCTTTTGTCACAGTGGCGGCAAGTTGGCAGAAATCCTTCATATTTAGGCCTTTTTCACTTTAAGGGCATGTCTTTATCTCACCTTGTCTTCTATGATGGCCCAAATACTTCTGGCTCACTTTGTTCCACCAAGATCTCTCCCTCCCTCGCCACGATCCCCTTTAGTTGAGACGTCTCCTGTCTTTACAGCTCCTCCACTGCATCTCTCATACCAAATCTTGCAGCCTTCTCAGCCAGAGGTTTCTTTGCCCCTGCACCATCCTTTCCCCATTCTTCACCCATAGCGGCCTCTAGTCCTTCCCTTAGCATCTCTCCCCAGTCTCCAACTTCTCAATCCCCTCCACTTGAGCCATCTATTCCATGGAAGGATTCTTGGTTCCTTTCCCCTGCATCGTCATTTTCTCCAACGACTCACCATGTGTGGTCTCAGGCGTTCCAGCCTTCTGGCAGGCCACATGGTTGCCAGCAGCCATGTTGCTGCAGCTTACATGGAGGACAGTCACCATCTTGCTGCACTCTGCCATGTGGCATGGCACTGCCATCTTGCAACGGGTCTCAGGGTCAGCGGCCGTCCCCTTGTTGCCCCTCGTGATCAGCAGCAGCTATCCAGCTGTGAGTCACATGATGACCAGCTGCCATCTTGCACCCCCTCACTGTGTTACCAGCAGCAGCTGAGCTGCTGTGAGTCACATGATGATACACCAACAGCCCTGCATTTCCTTGTTGCATGGTGATGAGCAGCTGTTTTATAGCCAGTCATTGGGTAATTGCCCCCACACACCTGCCGGATGGTTGGCCGCTCAGTGGCCACAGCCTTTTCAGCCTCAGTCTCTACTCCTGCTTCGGGAACAGGATGGCTCCATTCGCATGGGATTAGGTGATAGTCACGTTCCTTTTTTCCTCTCTGACCTATCTCAGATTAGCCATAAATTAGGTACCTTTTCTGGTATTCTTATTTCAAGAGATCCCTATTAATTGATCTACAAAAAAGTTCATACTAGTTTATTTTTTATAGTTCAAATTGGCCAAACATATTTGAGTGCACTTTGATTTTATAAGATGATTGTCAGTGTATATATCTGTTGTTTGTCCAGTCTGTTTATACTGTACAGATCATGTGTCCATTTGCCTGCTCTGTAAATGGCTGTTCCTTTTATTTGAGCTCAACAATCTTCTTTCCTTCTCTTTTTCATTTTCAGTTCATTTAATCAAATGATCTGATTTAAAAAACGTGCTTCCACCTAGGTTTTCCAGCTGGTCAAAATGATGCTAACATTGGTTAAACAAAATTCCTTGGCATGAGGAGACATTAGACAGAACTTCAATTGATGAACAAGAAAGTAGCCACCTGGTAACTTTAACCAGCTTTTGTTCATTAAATGGAGGCCCCAATAATCTCCACACCCTTATGGGACACACCTCATCTAAAGTTCATATGAGTAAGACAGTTCTTTGTTGCTGATCTGATGGTATATTCATGCCTTCGAATATAAAATTGGCATTGTTTATGGTGACAAGTGTTTTCTTTCAGATCCAGACATCTTATGCTCCAGCCAGAAGATTCAGGTCAGACCAACACGAAGTCTCCAATCAAATGATAATTTTTAAACAAAAATTCATGTAATGTATATGTTATACTTAGAGATGCTTAAATAGTGAGCAGTCCAAACAATGTCACAAATTTCTTCAGTGCTCAAATGTTAAAACACCCATGGTTAAAAGAAAATAATAGTTCCATTTAATGTTCTATGTTAAGCTTACTCTCTGTATTGCACTGTACTGTTATCAGTCTTCTGGATGTTCAACAACTAAAATTAAGAGAAAATTATAAATTCCTTTTGGATTCCTTTTGCTGGGACCCATCAGCTGTTTTCCAAAAAAAGGTTATATGATGCATATTGGGGCCATAATTAACTATATTCAACTGGTGTTAAATGATACTGCAGTTGATCTTTCTCTTAAATAAAAAGGTCAAGTTAACAAAACAGGCCATCCTCCAAAAATCAGATGGCATTAGACATTCTAACAGTGTAAGAGATACTTATACAATTATAAAACCTAAATGTGTGTATGACAAATGACATGTCAGTTTCTAAAATTCCCTAGATCTTATCCTTATCCTCCTTATGGGAAGCCATTGCTAAAGTTATAATCATAAATACCCTGTTGATTCTATTATTTGACTCCTACATTCTTAATTGATTCTTTGACTTTGTCTCCTTTAGACTTAAAGCTGTACACCTACCCAAGATAAAAACCAGATGTGACTGTGGAGGAGACCGATATCTTCCATTGTGGGCCATATCCCAAGACAAAAGGCTAAACTTGGCCCTCAAACCACACAGGGAGACCTTCTCAATATGGCTTTTCATATTCTCTACAACAGAGATAAAAATCAAAATGAAAAATAACAATCTGATCTTTTATCAGTGACACTTGGAGCTCTGAGACAGGTAAATCAAGACAAGGTGGAGCTGCCTGAGCCCCTTGCAGATCATGCTTCAAGTACAATAAAAAGGACATTGGGAAAAGAGTACCCCACCCCCAGCATTCTTCTGGGGCCTTGTCCCTATTGCAATCTCAAGGGCCATTGGAAGAGTGACTATCCTAGCCACCAGAGAGTGGGTAAGCCATCCTCTAACTCCTTGCCCTCATAGGAGATCTCATCACCACTGGATTCATCGCTGACTGATCTACTGGGACTTGATGCTGAAGAATGATGGGGCTTGGTGTCCACAGTCCTCCATTAAGGTGTCCTCAGAGCCCCAAGTCCCACTAGGAGGTCTCAGGTAAGACATTCTCTGTACTTGTGGACATAGAGGCCAGGTATAGTGTTCTTCCTAAGTTTTCAGGCCGCTATATTAGGTCCTCAGTCTCTATAGTGGGTGTTGATGGCCAACCTATGCAGCCTTTACCAACAGGGCCTATTGCATGCAGGTTCCAGACTCCTTTCTTCTCTGGTTGATCACATAGTTTAAAATACATCCAATCCCACCTGCGCTACCTGTGCCATTCCTATTTTAGTTTGTCTCAGGGATCCTTCAATTTTTCCTTGCATTCCCCAATATCCCATAGCTCCCAAACATTTACAGGGACTTAAATCTATAATTAAGCACCTTTTAGGCAATGGTTTTCTTAAACCTACACATTCACACTATAATACTCCCATTCTCCCGGTACTCAAGCCTGATGGGTCTTATTGTCTAGTACAAGACCTTAGCATAATTAATAGTGCTGTTACCCCAATCCACCCAATGGTGCCAAACCATTAAACCATGCTCTCTCATGTTCCTCCATCCACCACTCACTTTACAATTGTCAATATTAAAGATGCCTTTTTTAACCATCTTCCTATACCCTGATTGTTAGGATTTCTTTGTATTTACATGGAGTGATCCAGACACTCTCAGGTCTCAGCAACTTACTCGGACAATGCGTCCTCAAAGGTTCAGGGATAGTCCTCACTTCTTTAGCCAAGCTCTTGATGCTAACCTTGCAGAACTTGATCTCAAACCTATCACTCTCCTTCAATACATAAATGACCTTGTCTTATGTTCTCCACCCTATGTGCTAGCCATACAGCATTCAGCTAATCTCCTTAATTTTCTTGCCAGGCATGGGTACAAGATCTCTCTTGCTAAAGCCCAAATAGCTTCCCCAAAAGTCAAATATCTAGGTCTCTCTCACCTCCACCACTCATTCCATCACTACAGATCATAAGATAATTTTTGAGATCTCCAGGTGCCCACAATTAAACAACAGGTTACATCTTTCCTAGGTTAGCTAATTTCCTTCATCTCTGGATTCCTAACTTTGTAGCTCTAGCTCAACTCCTCTACAAAGCTTCTAATGGCCCCTTATCAAAACCCCTAGACCCCACTATGCCCATACATGCCTCCTTTCATAAATTAAAACAGGCTCTCCTAAGAACTCCAGCCCTTACCCTTCCTGACCCCACCCAACCTTTTACTCTACATAGTACCTCTCAGGGCCACAATGCTGTAGGTGTGCTAAGATACAAAAAGGGACCTTCTTTTCAACTGGTAGCCTACTTGTCAAAGCAGTTAGACAACACAGTAAAAGGATGGGCATCTTGTCTCCAAGCCCTTGCGGCTGCAGTCCTACTGACACAGGAAGCTAAGACATTTACATTAGGGCAGTCTATTGCATACACTCGCCTCATCATCTAAGTGAGCTTATCTCACATAAGGCACTCCCTTCCCTGAGGACCCCTTCTTGCCTTCAACAGGTACATCTAGCCCTCTCTCAGGACACTTGTATCTCTATTGCAACTAGTGGTCCTCTTAACGTGGCAACTTTACTTCCGACCTCAGAGGGCCAGCCTCATCATGACTGTATTGAGATTTTACAGATGACTCCCACCCCTTTCCCTCACATTGGTAGCACACCTCTCTCTTCAGCCTTTGACACATGGTTCATAGATGGCAGTTCAACAAACGCGGACAACCAAAAGAAAGCAGGACATGCAATAGTTAACCAGTCAAAAGTTATAGAGCCAAATCCACTGCCACCTGGGACCTCTTCCCAGAGGGCAGTAGTTATTGCCCTTACAAGGGCTCTTACACTAGCAAAGGACAAAGTCATAAATATATACACAGATTCAAAGTATACATTTAGAATTTTACACTCCCATTCCTCTATCTGGCAAGAAAGGGGTTTATCAACTCTCAGGGAGCCCCCATAATTAATGTGTCTCTTATCCTTAAACTCCTAGAGGCAGCCCTACTCCCAAAGCAGGCGGCAGTTATTCATTGCGGGGAATGCCGGAATTCTGCAGATCCCATTGCTCGAAGCAATGCCTTTGCAGATTCACAAGCCAAATTAGCTGCACAAAGGCCTTATCTTTCTCATCTTCTCCTGTTAGTCCCGAACAGTCTACCTCAGCCTAATTATTCACCAGAGCAGCTACAGCTACTTGATAAAGGAGGTTACACACAAAACACTCAGGGATGGATTTTCCAGGGATCATAACTTGTTCTCCCAGATCAGCAGGCCTTATACATCATCACTGACTTATATAACTGTTTGCATATAGGATCACAGGCCCTATATAGACTCTTAACCCTACACATCCTTCTCTAAAGGCTATCATTCTTCAGATTACTCACACCTATCATCTCTGTGCTAGGACCTCTCCTCAGGGACATATAGCACCCCCTTCCTTTCCTACTCATCAATTTTGTGGACACACCCCTGGTCAGGACTGGCAGATAGATTTTACACATATGCCCCACCACAAAACTCTCAAATATCTTCTCACCTTTGTACTTTTTCAGGATGCTGGTATAGTTACTAAAATCCTGTTACAGAAAATCATCCCAAGGTTTGATCTATCTCAGAGTATTCAGTCAAATAACAGCCCAGCCTTTATTTCTCAGATCACTCAACAAGACTACAACCAAGGTGGAGCAACCCCTATCCAGTCTTGTTGGCAACTCCAACAGTGGTCCAAGTTGCTGGACTGCCATCCTGGTTCCACATCACTCAAGCTAAGTGGTGCTCTCCCAGCCCTAAATCTAACCATCATGGGTGGTCATCTCATCTTCTATTGGCCACCCATCTCTGTCTCACCAAGGCTTCACAGCTGCAACTCTCAGGCTAAGTCATGTTTTGCTATCCAATTTGGTTCCGAATTCCTTACATTCTCTTTTTACAGCAGGACTCTTCAGTCTTTCCTAAAGAAGACTCCCACACCATGCATAAGATCATCTGCATACGGGACAACTGTCTTAGTTCTCTCTACCCTCAGCTGTCTAGTCAAACGTGAGATCTCTGAAAGCCTAGGCTCTTTCCTTCCTTATAGTGACACAGCCATGGCCATCCTCACCCCTCTTATTCTTTCCAGCTCAACTCCTGGACCAGAGACAAGCCCTACCTACCTACACTTTTAACTGTTACCCTTTCAGATGAGGGAATAATCAACTTTCATAACTTCACTCCTCCTAACCCCACACTTATTTTTTCAGAATTCTACCTCACCATGGCTCTGATGGAATGGCATATTTAAATCAAAGGCACCTTTCCTTCTACCTCACCTGGGTCCTTAAAGATGATAATGGGCCTTCCTCCTCATAGCACCTTATCTCTTTGTTTTTCCAGTCTAACGGGAGGATGTTCACCAATGATGAAGTTGTCCTAGCTAAAACACCTGGCACCAGCTTCTGCATGGGCATCAACCATCATCCTATCAACCTTCCTAAACCCCAATACAGTGCCCCCTCTCAGCAGGAAATAGTAAGAGAGAGACTTTGCCCTTTTCCTAACAATACAAAGATGGGAATGAAAGGTTTTTGCCTTAGTAGAAATTATGGTGGTGGTCTAACATGGCAGAAGGCCGAAGTGGGAATGCCTACCACTTCCTGTTTCTTCCTCAGCCTTAATTGCAACTCCCCTTCCTGTTTGCATGCAAAGAAAATTCCAGTCAGCTTCTCGCATGTCACCAGTGCCCACCCTAAGTGCAACTCCCGGTCAGAGGTTATATATTATCCCATACCCCACGTCCGACCAGAAGAGATCCAGCCGTCTTTGGTCATTGGACTCTTCTCCACATCCTTAGAATAAAGGCTACTGTTTCTTTATATTTTTCTCTTTCTTGGTGCCAAAAACCCTATCACCTATGAAGTAATATGTCTCAATCTATATAAATCAAAGATAAATTGTTTAAATAATACATGTTTTATTTTTAGATTTTTAAAGTGCTTTCTACCATCTGCTCACTCTAACAAAAAAAATGACATAAATATACTGTTAAGATAAATGTGTCACAATAACAAGAATAGAGATGCTTAGTGAGTATTTATATCATCTCAGGCATTGAATTGGGAGCTTTTGAATTATTACATACTTTAATCTTTATAACAACTTTAAAAGCAGTTGCTTTTATTCCCAATTTATTGGAGCAGGGATAAACTGAGAGCCTTACTGGAATACGCTGATCTGGGTGTCAAGCCCAGGTTATTCTGGTCACAGAAGTAAAGCTTTTAAAATTCTCTCTAAACACTGCTTCTAGGATTAATGGATGTCAAACACCTTAGAGACAGAGAGATTCTCAGATTCTGTTCACACCATCACTAAGGGGGTTGATGATTACATCTTGTAGAAATGGTGGATACCTCTTAGGGACAAGCTGTTTGTGACTAGAAAGAGAACAAAAGACATGCTCAAGGTGAAATTTGATCATTACGCATTGTCTCTCAGGTGACATGGCCTCCAAATATAATGGTGAATCCCCCCTAAGGGCCAAATATTGCCTTAGAAGATATAATTGTGACCTTTATTCTGCTGTTGCCATGGAGTTATGCCTCTTGCTTCTCAGTAGAAGGTCAATCACTGTATTTAAATGGAGTGAACATTGAACATATGTAATGCATACAGTCTACTATTATTTCTTTGTAGGCGGCTTATTACAGGGTTGGTATGCAGTCTAAATTAGATGTCAGAAAAAGAAGAAAGCTTTTAAATTCAGGACATTTTATAGAATTCTTTGAGTAAGATTCTCTCTTTCAAATCCATGAATTTTCTGATAGCCTTTGAAGTTGTTTTTGTATGAAGCCAGCCTTATTTCCTCCATTCTTTAAGGGAATCTTTTCTTTCAACCATGTCCCAAAAATCACTTTCTTTTATGTTTATGAGAATTTGGATGCAATTATTTTATAATAAGTCCATCTCTGTAAACAGCCCTATCATTTGTAGACTTTTGAATGTCATTATCATAAAAAAAATCAGTGCTTATTCTGCTCCTATTTGGCTTTGAAATAGCATTTTGAGGCTGTGTGACTCTAACTTGTATCAAACCGGATTTCCTCTGTGAGGAAATTCAGCTAGCATCTTACTCTGGGTTCCACACCACAGTTTTTCAAATTCCTAATACTGCTGCTAAGTGCAAATGGCCCACTTTGAAAATGGAATTTGTCATTTCATCCTACTCAAAAGTGGGTGGAGGGAAAGGAGTACTTCACTAAGGATAATTGTGTAAGAAGACCACAGACTGATGAGGGATTGTGTTTTGAATGGTGGCTTTTGTCACTTGTTAATTTCCCTGAAGTTTATGAGACTATTATTTTAAGCTAAGGAACTTATAGACCCTTTCTGCCTGCACTGCTTTGAGTTGTAAAGAGATTAAGAAATGTGAAAACTATTTGGGACACTCTAGACACATGAGTTTCAAGATAGTAAAGGACATAACTTTTCAGGTGCTGTAATATTGGGTTTGCCATGTTATGTTTGAAGGGAGCAGTAGGTCTTATTTTGCTCCATAAGTTGCAGGTATAGATTAGATAAGCATTTTGCATCCTTTCCACGTTCTCTCTACTGGATCTAGGGTAGTTATTTGCTAGATGTGTTGTTTTCAGTAAATCACTTCTCTCAGATTAGTAATATATAAACAATAGCAATACCTTTATGGACAGATAAGGGACTAAATGACATTATGTTCAGCACAAGACACCAACACACTTGAAAATATCTGCAGAAGTAAACATGTTTTAAGTCACAGTATGTGTAGAAATTCAATATTTGTGATTTTGTGGCAAGCTCTAGTTTGCTTATTTTGAAAAATGCTCACCCAGGAACTTGGTGGTCCCCACTTGAAAGATCAATGGTAGCTGAAAGCTAAGAAGCTTTCAGTTATTGTCCATTTAGTGTAATGTTGGCTGTTGGTTTGTCATAAATGGCCTTTATAAGATTGAGGAAGACACTGTGTATTCCAAGTTTCTGAAGGGGTTTTATCATGAACATGTGCTGGACTTTTTTGAAAGCTTTTTCTGCATCTATTGAGATGTGGTTTTTGTTTTTGGCTCTGTTGATGTGGTATATTACATTTATTGATTTGCATATATTAAGCCATCCCTGCATTCCTGGGATGAATCCCACTTGGTCGTGATGTAATCTTCTTAATGATTTGTTGCATTCTATTTGCCAGTATTTTCTTGAGAATCTTTGCATCAATGTTCATTAGTGAGACTGGCCCATAGTTTTCCTTTTTGATTGGGTCTTTCTCTGGTTTTGGCATCAGAGTAATACTTGCCTCCAGGAATGATTTAGGGAGGATTGCTTCTTTTCCAGTTTCATTGAAGAGTTTAAGGAGTATTGGCATCAAATCTTCTCTAAATTTCTTGTAGAATTCAGCCTTGAATCCCTCAGGACCTGGGCTTTTCTTTGTTAGTAAGTTTTTAATTACATTTTCAATTTCAGTAGCTGATACTGGGTTATTCAAAATTTCTATGTCTTCTTGGTTGAGCTTTGGTAGTTCATATGTTTCTAGAAATCTGTCCATTTCCTGTGTGTTTTCCACTGTATGTGAGTAAGAGATTTTCAAAGTATTAATTCTGATCTTTTGAGTTTCCATGGGATCTATCATAATTTCCTCCTTTTCAGTTCTTACTGCGTGAATTTGGTTTTTTGTTTCTTTTTCTTCATAAGGTTAGCTAGAGGTTTGTTAATTTTGTTTATTCTCTCAAAAACCAGCTTATTGATTCATTAATTCTTTATATTGTTTTTTTTTTTAGTTTCAATTGCATTGATTTCTGCTCTAATCTTTACAATTTCCTCTCTTCTGTGAGCTTTGGGTTTAACTTGCTCTCCTTTTTCTAGAAGTTTGAGATGTAGCATTAGGTCGTTTATTTGTTCTCATTTTGTTTTCTTGATATGACAATTTATTGCTACATATTTCCCTCTTAAGACTGTTTTCATTGCATCACACCAGATTGCAGTATGTTGTTTCCACATTTTCATTGAATTGTAGGTATTGCTTTATTTCTTCTTTAATTTCATCTGTAGCCCACTGGTTGTTCAAAAGGTTATTATTTAATTTTCATGTATTTGTGGAGGTTTTGCAATTCATTTTGCCATTAATTACCAATTTCAGTGCACTATTGTCATATTATGTATCGGGTAATTTCAATACCTTTGCAGTTAATTAAGAATGTTTTATGGGATAATATATGGTCTATTTTGGAGAATATCCGATGTGCAGCTGAGAAGAATGTGTACTCTGATGTGGTTGGGTGAACACTCTGTAAACATGTACTAAGTCCAATTGCTCACAGTTATGCTTCAGTTCTTCTATTTCTTTGCTGACTTTTTGTCTAAGTTGATCTATCTCTTTCTGCCAGTGGGTTATTAAGGTCTCCTGTTATGATTGTGTATTTGGTTTTCCATGTCCATTAGTATCTTTCTTATATAGTTGTGTACTACTGCATCTAGTACATAAATATTTATAATTGCTAGTTCTTCCCCTTGAATTTTTCCACTAACAAGTATGTAGTGATCTTTTTTATCTCTTTTAATCATTTTAGGTTTGAAGTTCACGTTGTCTGCAAATAGAATAGTAACCCCTGCTATTTTGTGGGTTCCTGTTGCATGGAATACTGTTTTTCATCCTTTGACTTTTAATCTATGAGTTTCCTTTTGTGTCAGATGTGTTTCTTGTGTACAGAATATTGTGGAATCATGTTTCTTGATCCATTCTGTCAGCCTATTTCTTTTGATAGGTGAATTGAGGCCATTCACATTCATGGATATCACTGATATGTACTGGCTCAACTTTGCCATGTTATGTTCAATTTTTTTGCTTTCTGATTTTCTCCCTTGTTTAATTGTTTGTCTTACCTGGTGGTTTCTTTCTGTTGTTGTTCTGGGGATTGTGATCTTTTTTATCTCTATCTAGTATGACTGTCAATACTCTTTCTAGAGTTGGTTTGGTGGACGTGAATTTCTTCAGTTGTTTTTTGTCGTGAAAGTGTTTTGTTTCTCCATTAAATTTGAATGAGTATTTTTCTAGGTACATCAGTCTGGATTGAAAGTTGCTTTCTTTAAGGGCTTGAAATACCTCACTCTAAGCTTGTCTTGACTTGAGGGTTTGTGCTGAAAAGTGTGCTGTGATTCTAATGGGCTTTTTTTGGTAGGTTAGTTGTGTCTTTTCTCTAACAGCTTTTTGTATTCTGTTTTTATGCTGTATGTCTGAGATTGTAATTATTATATGTCTGGGTATAGATATATGTTGGTTGTGACTGTGTGGTGTTCTATATGCCTCATTTATCTGCATATAGAATTTTTTCCCATGTTTGGGAAATTTTCTGCTATTACTTCTGTGAATAGTTTAGTTATCTCATTTGCATTGACTCCTGCATCTTCACTGTTGCCTGTTAATCTTATATTGTTGCTCTTGGCATTATCTTGAAGCTGCTAGATTGTCATTTCATCCTGCTTTGGTATTTTTAAAAGTTCTACCCTTTCACGATTGCTAATTGTGATCCCATTCTCAAGGTCTGAAATCCTATCCTCAGCTTCATTTAAACCATTTTGCCATCTTTGACTAGAATTTTTTGTTTCTTGGATGTGTCTTTGAGTTAGTTTCATGAATTGTGCTTGTTTTCTGTATTTCAATCATTTTCCCATGCTCCTGTGCTTTTTTCTCTATTTCTTCTTTAGTTATGCTCAGCAACCCCTTTACTAAGGTTGTTATTTCTATCTTTACATGGGAGAATACTTCTAATTTGGTTTCCTCTACAGCCTCGTGGAGTTAGTTTTTTTTAATTTCACTCACTATCTTTTCAGAGATTTCTGGTGTGTTACTTTTGAAGTTCTCTATTTCAGTGTCTCCTGTACTTGCTCCTGTGGACTAGATGTTTGAGATTGCATTTTGCTTTTTCATGTTGCCATTTTCGCCTTTTGAGTTAATATTTGGTTCCTCAGTCCCACTAGTGTCAACTGTTGGTACTGT